AGGGAGGCGGAGAAGGCGGCGGTTATCCGTTAGTGACCGTTGGAAGCGGTGTCTCACAGGGGCGGGCAGCACCGCCACCCTCTCCCCTCGCACTGCGCAGCCCCCGCCTCGAGGTTAAGCGCACGGTACATTGAAAGACAGGGGCAGCAAGAAAGAAGGTGAGCTCATAAAAACTACGTTTCATATTCAATAGAAGCTTCAATTTAAGTTTATTCAAGTCATAATTTTCATATTCACTGCACCTTAGTACTACACAAGCAAGAGTTCAAGTCCAGTGTAATAGGGCACTGCCAGAGGCCAGAGCAAAGAGGTAGGCAAGCCGGGTTTCAGTATTTAAGTGAACGAAACTAAGCTATTCCTCAGTAATGTCACTACAGTTTGCTACATGAGGATACTTCATTAAGGAAATACCTTGTTACACAGTCTTAAGTGGATAAATGTATTGATTACATTACCAGACCTCTTTTTTGGAATTAACTTCCAAGTCTGCTAGCACAAGAAGAACCACGGTAGCTTTCACTGATGTGCCAGGTCAAACCCAACCAAAATAAAGACATCTTAGGATGATCCTAAACCATATCTTAATTATTTCATGTTTAGCTGTTAGCGTTACTGCAATCTAACTCTAAAACCCTTTCACACTTTTAAGTCAACAAGTCACTACACAAATGTTAGATCTTGCTATACCCAGGAAGAGATTAACATAATTAAGATCATAAAACGTCAAAACAATCTACATACTGCTAAGGTAGTTCAGGTTTAGGCAAATAAGTTATCCTCCCACAAATATGAAAACAATATATTACTGACATATTTAGGGAATTTAGTTTTGTAGTTCATCTCAAACATATAAATATGAAGTAAACAGTATCAAGTTAGTTTACATCTCTTTTGGTGCTTGACAGGATCAAGTTCAAGAACAGCGTGGAATTCAGTTATCTGTTCAACTTTTTTTTTCATAGAAAAATAGCATATCCATAAAGAAAAGGAAATGAATTTCAACTTACTCAGTGATCCACTCTTTTATTTTACCTTAGTTAAAGGCAAACTAAGTACAGATACTGTACATTAAAACGTTACACACATATAAAGAACAGTCGTTCTTCATTCCACCTTAAAGGCTCAGTTTCTACATTCTTTTATTTATGCCCTTTTCCAAACAACTACCCCTCTCTGAAACATACTGCATCTATATTTAAATATAGAGCGAGCCATCTGCAGGTCCCACATAGCCAACACCAATTAGGAGCACATCAATTAACGTCCATATTCCAAGTCCACCAAAGCTGAAGAGTTTTCCCAGACCTTCCCGCCACTGGCCCAAATAGAAACGATCTGCTCCAAATCCACCGAGGGTAATGCTACAAGAATAAAAATATGATTATTATTTATTTCTTAATGAACTCAGTTTGGGTATCTATACTTGCTTCTTTTTGATATACCTACAAGTTGATGATGGTTTTGCTTTTATCACACAAGAAACCATGAAGATTTTATTAAAAAAAAAAAAAACCCAGCTGACTTGGTAATTAAGTAATGTGTAAGTTCTTGATGAAAAAGTACTATTTCTTAGCTAATGAGTATTATTCAGAGACTTGACAGTTTTTCATTCATAACAAGCAATAAAAAACCCCACAAAAACACAACACACTTTCAAACTTTGCAAATTTGTGTTTCAGCTTTTCTAACCTGGCAGAAGTTTAAAAAACAAAACAAAACACCTGTAGAAAGATTATTCAGCCCCCATGCAGCAGTAAGGCAATGATAAATTTCTCCAGCTGGTGGCAAAGATGAGAATGACTATAAAGAAAAGTGTGTTAGATCACTTTCTTAATCACAGTCTTACTACATCTTTCATCCAGGTAACATAGAGTCTTACTACCCAATTTAGCATATTAACCATTTTGAAATACTAATTTAATGGAAAAAAAAAGTCTTTTGAACGTATTTCAGTTACTTTCAAATCACTACTGTAGTGCTCTAATGACTTAATATGTCAAAAATTAATCCGTTTATTTCAATACTGCCATACTGGTCTCCTCCCCAAGATTTCAAAGCACACGAAACTTCCCTTTTAAAGCATTTCTAGCTGTTACAGTTGGAAGAGAAGCCTTAAAAATATCTATTTATCTAAGCCAGCTCTAGCCAACTCAGGGACATCTGTCAAATTCAGAACAGCCACATTCATTTCAGACGCCAGGAAATAATTTGTACAAACAATTTTCAGCACTGTTTAAAAAGGGAGGAGCAAAATTCTGTAAGTCTACAGAATTTTTTGAGCGTTTGCACCGCATTTGACATCAGAGTAAAACAGATGTCATCCCTATTTAGAAGGGATCACTTTGTGAAGCCTAAGAATCATTGGCACTTACTCTGACGAAAGTACATTAGTTGCAGAAATAGGATCAAGATTTCCTTTCAAGCTCTATTTTTTGAGGACCGCTACTATCATTGCATATGAAATCTTAAGGCATCCTATGTGTCCAAATTCCAAGCCAGACAAATGCAGAAAAACACAGACTGAAGATTTAATACCCAATTAATATAATATTTATAATATATAAATCAGCGTGAAGTTCTGTAACAGCTCTTGCGTACCTTAGCGCCAAGGCAGTAGACCACTTATAACCTCCAGTCCAGTTGCAATAGAGCATCTTAGGAAAGACACGATTACCTAAACATTAAAACATATTCAAACCTTAATGCAACAAACAGACAAATGAGTCAAAACACGAAGCATGAAGCAAGAACAAACCATACATCTCTAACAAGAGACTAAAATAGTTGACACTAGTAGAAGCAAGCACTGTCAATAAGACAATAACACAAAGAAAAACCCATACATCGTCTATTCCATTAATCTTTGTCTCACACCAGATAAAGGCAAGGTAGTTGAACAAATAAAGAGGGGGGAAAATTAAAGGAGTTGCGTGAAACCGACATGAATTTTTAAAAGTTTTTTAAATTGATGACACTTGAAATTTATTCCATTAATGGTGTCCAAATTAGTTGAATTCATAAAAATGGACAGAAATAAAATAAAACTACTTTCGCTCACCTGAAGGTACATAACAGTAGTCTTACAAGTCAGTGGTTACAAGTGTCATTTTAAAATTAAAAATTAAAATGTGACTATAAAAATATTCAATTGTCAGATTAATCAAGGTGCAGACTGTTCCTGCAATGGCCATAAACAATCATTGTATTGACCCATTACCAAAAAGTTAAGAAATTCTTTAGAAAAAGGGCTTCTTCACAAAATCTGTTTTAGCACACCTTACCTAGACAATGAATATGATCCCGTACTGTACAAGTGGCATTATATCGTTGTCGTGGACAAGAAACCGTCATGCAGTTTGTAGAATTGGTACATACATAATCAGTTGTCGCAAGCTGCCAGCAAAATTGGCATGTCATGTTAATGGTAAAGTTCTCCTGCTCGTCGTTATTCTGATCCTGTAAGAGGAGAGTATTATCACTGAATTAATAATCAAAGAGTTTCACAGCATACAGTATCAAATTACATCTCACAGATAAAATAAGTCTTACTTTGCTCGAAACTTCTATGTTCGCCATCTCTACGTGGTCAAGTATAATAGAAAACCAACAGCAGAAAACTGGTAAGAATGGTTATTAAAGTGCAGTTTAATATGACTGCTTAGTCCAATCTAATTGTAGGCTACGGCCAAAAGGAGCAGCCTCAACTTACTCAGACTTACCTTTTTTTTATATATGATCAGGTTGCTCATCTGACAGACATTCTTCCTCCCCCCCCCCCAAACTGATTTAACTCAACCACATGGCTGCGTGACAAAAAGATCTGTGCAAAGGAGGCAGAAAGGAGCGTAGGTCTGCCTCTTCCAGCAATAGCCTATAGTTAAATCAGACTGATGTACACAAATCTGCAAACCTGCCTATATAAGAAACCGAAAAACCATTTTTTACATTTCTTTAATGACAAGATACCAAAGTTTTAATTAAAAGACTTAAATCCAGATTAAAAGTAATAGGTTACTTACAACACAATGAACATGTGGCTTGACTTTGCAATCGAAAGTGGCTGGCTTCCCATATATACAGGAAAAGTTTGTGTTGCATGTCATACAGTCTGGTGGCAACCTACTGCAAAGCCCATTGCTAGGGCATTTAGTCACATAAGATGGCATTTCTGTAGTTTCTGAAAAATGAAGTAAGGGAATAAAATGAAGAAAAAAAAGATTCTACAGACAGTGCATGTGTATACATATAAAAGGCTTTCCCTATTATGCAGGGAACAGAATTAAAGGTTACTACCTTTAATTCTTTAGTACCACCAGAGTTTGTTGAGCCAGCTGAACAGGTTACACAAGGCAGTAAGGTACGCTGCAAGGATCCTTGCAATTTTGTACAGGACAGTGCATCAACACAATATAGTACAACACTAAGAAGAGGGCTTAGCATGAATTTCAGGAGTAATGTAACTGTATAGAGAGTACCACCTCAGCCAGTATTTCGCAGCAGGAGTAATCAGCTTTGGTAGAGAAACAGGTTGACACCAACCTACGTTGGCTTCAGCGCTAATTAAGTAACAGCTAGCTCAGACATCTGTTTGCATGTGTTCAGAAGGGCCTCTTAAGCTGTTAGCAAGAAGAGTATTTCAGTGAAACTTGATGTTGTATTTACGTTGGATGTGAAATAGTAACAACGTCTTGCAGAACGCTAGAGTGTTTCAAGAACTTCCACCATCCTGACAATGGTGTTAAACACGTGAACCGGGATCCTAGTTTAAAAGGTAATTTTCTATCTGTAAGATCTTATATGGACAACCTTTCTAATTATATAATCCTGACTAGTTGTTTAAGGTCATTTAAAAGTAATTCTAACTGCACCATACTACAGTATATCTTTTACCACTGTGAAAGCATATACACGTTTACATAATTCAAAAGCTTTACTATTAAAGTCAAGATTTGAAGAAGACGGCCCCCAGAAGAACAATAAAAGAAACAAGAAAACTGATAATTGTACCTGCCACTTTAAAATAGGGAGTATTTGTACTTGTTGAAGTTAGACTTTTTGCAAGGGTAGACTGGGTCTGTGAGTGCTTTGTGGTCATCAAAGATCCTGCTATAAGAAAAAAAAAATTGGAGAAAGTGATATTTCTAGAAGAATGCTGTTCTTCAGAAACAGTTTGATTCCAACATCCGGATATGAAATTACAAGTGGAAAGTGCAAAAAAATTGCAATTACAAAAATCTGCTTTCCTGGTTTAGAATAGGCTGTTTAAACATTAAACATCCGTGCTAGAATTTAATTGTTCCTATTTTTGTCTCAACTCAGTCTCATTTTTTTGTTTGTTGAGACTCCTACAGCGCTCAAAGAGCTAAACAAAAACATTTAATCAAGTAACGCAGTGACTTCTTCAGTAGCAAACTGGAACAGAGGACCTGGCTGGAAACCATGGCTCTACTTGCGCAAAACAGTATTTGTCTTTGCCCGGACCCATCGGATCCGGGGAGGCAGGGCTATGCAGCGCTCGGCGGTTTGTCCTATCTGTGCTGAAGCCCGCAGCGCATCACGCAGCGCGAGCGAGCTGTGCCAGGGCGGAGGAGTTTGCTGCCTCTGCCTGCCCGCGCGGTGCCGAGAAGCCCCAATGCCCTGCCAATTACATTCTGGATTACGCGCAATCCGAGACAAGGAACGCATATAAAAACGACTATCTCATGCCAAAGTAACAGACGTGTCGGCACGGTGTCGGCGAGCAGGGGCCCAGCC